ACCTATTTTATCCATGTCTTTAAAAAGAGGTTTAACTGTTAAGAGTTTTATTTCAACATTATAATTTAGGCACAATATGACATTTTAATGTTTAATATGCAAAAAAAAAAGAAACACTTAAATTAACCACGTCTGTGACTGATTTTGTTCCAACTGTGCATACTTTACTTGAGTAATGAAAGAAAGCAAAGAAGCAAAGCCAAAGTGTTAAGAGGCAATATTAAGTAGAATAATCTGAGATATAAAATTTTTCTGAATTATAATGTAATTGAAAGAAACCACACTTGATCTTCTTTATTTAGATTAATTAAAACTAATTATTTGTATTGGTACTATCTCTAAGAATAAATCTTAAAAAGAAATCATTCTTTTGAAATCCAAAATAGTAAGGTGTTATTTTCACTAGAAGAAAAACACAAATATAATACCTAGAAACCTAGGTTTTGTGTATGAGGGGATGAGAGGCAGAGATTTAGCAAATTTGACCCAAAAGTTTCAATTATTTACACATTAAATTAATGAAGGTATTTTTTTCCTTATGTAAAGAGTGACTAAAACCAATTAAAGGCTAAAGCTTCCATTAACAGATCACACGGAAAACAGCCCAAGTGCTTAAAAGTACAGGTTCTGAAGTCAAATAAACCTACGTTCATAGTCCAGCTCCACTACATCTTAGTTTAGTGATACTGGACCATTTACTGAGAATTCTGAGTCTTAGTTTTCTCATGTCTAAAAGCAGGGACAAGATAATAACAGGAACCACTTCACAGCATTATTATAAGGGTTAAATGAAATATATATAGTGCCTTGTACATTAGAAATATTCTATAAATACAGTGATTATTATTATGTTATTAGTATCTTTACTAACAAAATGTGACTTTTAGTAGCAAACCTGAGTCCTCACAAACACACGAAAGATTTTTTTTTTTTTGTAAATCCACAAAAATTCTGATCATCATTACTGAAGAAAGTAGAAGAAAAAGGCCATTTTGCCTGGAACTGTTAAAAACTATTAGTGACCTGGTCCAAAAATAAACCTGAGATGTGTATAAATTTCACACAGAGGTTTTTTAATACTTCATGACAGGAGTTGCTAAAATATTCATATTGGAGTTTCTAAAGTAAACACTATACAAGCAAAAAAGAAAGCAATACCAGCCTCAGCAATCAAAGTCTGCTAGGGATACTTAGACGATGCTAGATAATTTCTTTGGTTTGTTAGATTTGTTAAATTTAGCGTTTACCTCATGTTTCTGTATGGAGATTAACAGAGTTTGGAATTCAAATGTTTTGCATTTAAAAGGGATTATGTCAACAAACTCCTTCCTTATCTCAGTGAAATATTATTGGAACAAGTCTGTTGGGGCATTTCTTCCCCATCCCCCAGATTTGAAAGTTCTAAACAGGCACAAAACAGAAATCCTAGTAACTACTTCTGAGTTAACTAACAATGACCAATATCCTTTGTTGCAGTTTTTAATACTATATTTACAAATTCTAAAAATTCACAGATAATTCCAATTTATTCATGTTTTGTTACCTTTGAGAGCTAAGTTTAGCATATCACCAGCACGGAAAGAAATTTCTTCTTCAGATACAGCAACAAAATCATATTCCGCTCTAGCAACTACATGGTCATCCTCACCACTTGCCCAATTCGTGTTATCTATAAACCAAATTAAGATTATGTTAGTAAAATTTACAAAAGGGAAATGCAGATATTTCACTGGCTATGGTTTGCAAAATGCATAAATTTATTTGTAGAGGAAAGTCACCCCCCAAAGTAAACTCTATAATTAACATTATGTAAAATCAACAATATGTTCACTAGGATATCTATTATAAATATTATAAACTTTTTCCTTTTCTATATACTCAAAATTCCAGCTCCCTTACTTTAAGTCAGGGGTCAACAAATGTTTTTCTCTAAAGGGTCAAGTAATAAATATTTTAGACTTTGCAGGTTATGAGGCAAATTGAAGATATTGTATAGTTACTTATAAGAGAGAAAAAAACCTTTTCCATAAATTTTTGACAAAACTCAAAATGTAATAAAAATAGAGTTTTGCTTTTTTTATAATACAAGTCTACTACTGAGAATGGCATATTTTGGGGGTAGGATATTTCACTGAATTGGGGTTCAAAGACAGTGTTTCCTATGATGATCATTATCAATTGCCAATATTCCTCTGTTAATGCTCATTCATAATGAGATTTGAAGTATTTTATCTTTGAAAATGTTTTTTTCACGCAGATAGGTACTGACAAATACTAATATCAATGCACTGACCTTGTGGTTTAATTGAGCATATTCATCCATAAGAAGACGAATGAAGTAGAATTCTAAGTAATTCTTTTGAATTTACCTTTTACCATGTCATTACATTCGAGATTGATCATTTCCAAATGAAGATTAAGTGGAAGTTTCTCAATTGCACAGTTCAATGGACTTTGAAATGTGGAAATTTCCTCTACACTTGCATGGAGGTCCCCCAAACACTGTACTCTTCCCTTTATCTCCTGCTACTTTCACTTTGCTCCTTTCACAGGCTTCCTTGCTGTTCACATGACATGCTATGCACACGACCACTTAAATACCTTTCCAATTTTGCTGTTCCCTATGCCTCAAATGATTCCCTTGAATAGATACAGGGTTTACTCTTTACCTGCTTCAGGGAGGCCTTGCTGGACTGGTGTAGCACTGTAACCCCACTTCCTACCCCTGGCTCTGCAATACTCTCTTCCCTACTTTATTTTTTCCTATGGCACTTATTACCTTCTGACTTACTACGGGTGAACCTTGCACAACGCGAGGGTTAGGCGCAGTTAAGAATCCCATACAGTCCGAAATCCACGTATAGCTTTTGATTCTACCGTCAGCCCTTTGTGTATGCAGATTCGACTAACTATGAATGGAAAACAGTATTTTCCATCTGTGGTTGGGAATTTGAAAATACTGTTTTCGATCTAAGGTTAGGTGAATTTGTGGATGCAAAACCTTCAGATACGAAGGGCTGACTATATTTATTGAAAAAATCTGCATATAAGTGGACCCCAAAGTTCAAATCCATGTTGTTCAAGGGTGAACTGTATGTATTTTACTTACTTGCTTTTTGCTGTCTCCTTCAACTAGATAGTCATAAGGATGGGGATTTTTAAATCTGTTTTATTCATTACTATATCCTTAGCTCCTAGGACTGTGTCTGGCACATAGCAGGCCCAAAAATATTTATTGAATTAATGAATATTATTTCTCTATTAACACAAATTTAAAAGTCTAGGACATTTTGAGTCCTCCTTTTCCTTTATGCACCACATGTACCCAGTAACTAAATCTGTTGAACCTGTTGTATCTATCATGCTTTTCACACACCCTAGTTCAGACTTCATCATTTCTCATCCAGTCAAATGCAAAAGCATTATAACTGATGTCCCCAAATAAATAAATATTTACTAAATAACTTCTATGTGCCAAGCAGGTTGTTAGCTTTCAGGAATACAAAGGTAAACATAACCCAAAATTTTTTTATGGATCTTACCAACCAATTTCAACCTGTTTTAACCTACACTAACCTATCTTAAACACCTGAGACAGAATGACCTCTTTTAAACACCTTACAAACAAACAAAAAAAAAACCCAAAAACAAAAAAAACACCCTTTCCTTACTAAATGAAGATTAAGATCTTCCATTATTAGCCTCAACCTAATTTCTCAGCCTTATTTATATCCTTTTATTCTATACTACACGACAGCTGCTGAACAAATTTCATATTTCCTGCCTATCTACTTTTGTTCAAGCTGTTCCATCTGCTTGATGGTCTTTTTTTCCCTTAACTGGTGAAATGTTACCTGTCCTTCTAAAACCTAACTTAAAATACCACTTATTCCTGGATACCAATAGCCAAAACAAAACAAAACAAAAAACTTAGCTTCACTTTTAAACTGAGATAGCACTCTGTACCAGCTGATAGAGAAGGGGCTTAACAGTCATGTAAGCCTGGTTTTGTTTCTGGTTCTACCTTATTAAAGATGTGACCTTTGGCAAGTGATTTCCCTGAACCTCAGTTTTATCATTTGTAAAATGACAAAGATAATTCCTATCTCTTAGGGTTGTTGTAAGAATTAAATGAGATATAATACACAAAATACTTGACAGTGTCTTGCATATAAAAAAGGCTCAATAAAACTTATGTCTCTCCCCAACTGTCATATTCCTTACCACACTCTTTCTGCCTCATTACAATTACCTGTACATGTCTTACCCATCTCCGCACCAATAAGTTTTAGAAAGATTATATCTTATGTATCTTTATAGTACCCTGTAAACAGTAGTCAGGTAACGTGTACTGTTATACTGAATGAATAATGAATAAATCAACAAGCCTGATTTTGCTATGTATTCCTCTTCTAGTTTTGAAGTTCTTAACTGACAATATAACTGGGTCAAAATATTAAATACAAATAAATATAAAGAATGCTAATTTAATAAATCTGTTCTTAAAATTTGAGATTGTTATGTGGTTTCTGAACCCATTCTCTTATTCTTACCTGTTATTTCATCACTGTGAGTAGATAGCAGTTTCCAGATGAGGTAATAAGGACCACCAAGGATAACAGCAAAGAACAAGAATATTGGCCAAGATTTTGCTGAGTTAGCTGCTCTGTCCTCGGCACCAAGGCAAGCCACAGTTCCTTCACTTTCTGCCCACAGGTCCTCATTCTCAGAGCCTCTTCTTAAACCTATCATCCACTGTAACCGTCTGTAAAGATACCTTATAGTCCTCACTAATGCAAAAACTGAAAAAACCTTTGTGAAGTGTATTTTTAATCGGGAAAAATGATTCACTACATCCAATACAGCCCTAAAACTGTTATAGACAGCTGAAAAGGTAGCATCCATCATCATACTGACAGAGGCAAATGCATGCACAATACTCTCAATGGACTGAAATGCACCTCTGCTGCTTTCTTCAGCTTGCTGAACAAATCTACTAGGTGGAAGATCATCTACACGGAGGCGGTTATAGCTTAACCCATTATATCCATAACTATAAGGGCTATAGCTTCCATAAAACGAATTTCCATAGGCACCATATCCTGAAGAAAATGAGCTGTAAGCAGGTCTGAAAGTGTTCACATTGCTACTTCCTGTCTGCTGTGATGGCCTTGGAAGAATAGGTGGGGGCACTCTGGTGAGTGTTGGTTGTCCAGGTCTTGTCAATAACGTAGGACCCAAATCAGCAGATCTAAAACCAAAAAAGATTCAAAATAGTAACTTAAAACACACAATAGATTCAAATCAAATTAACTATTAAACACATCCTATATCTAGTGTTATTACAGATACTCCTGAAGATGGATTAAGAGTGAGGAATAGTTTCTAATACCATGCTGCTTAAAATCTAAGTGTTAAGACCAAGTGGATAAGATAAAATAGCTGAATGAGCTCTGCTATTTTCTTATTTACTTATGATGGCATTATTAGTACTATCTTCAATCTGTGGTTTCTTTTTAAGATACTTG